AAAAAGTTCAGAAGTCTCCTCAGCATCCCCACAAACTGCACAAACATGATCCACCTAACTCCCCTTTTGATGAGGTTAACACTGCTCTAGAAAAATACTTCCATTGCACATGGAGGCCTTTGCATTAGCATGTCTTTATGATGCTGAGAGCATTGCCAAGGCTCTGAGTATTATTATACGCAATATTTTTTTTACGGCTGAACAGTCAGAAGCGTTGTTTGACTCGAGCAAGAACACAAATCAGAAGTCTGGCAAACGACGTTCCAACCATCCAATTAATATATTCACCCTACAAAAATAAATTGGGATAGAGATATTTAAGGAAATAAATATATTATATCAAAATAAATAAAACCAAAATTAATAATAATTTTTTTTGTATCTTATTTATGTATATTACAAACCTATATGACGTAAGTGACAAGTCCAACTCATATGTTGCATTCAAATAAATCAAAATTGAATATGAACATTTGCAATTGTAGTTCATATTTATTACATATAATTAATAATTTTCAAATAGATTTTAAAAATTATAAAACTTAGTAATTAATAAAGGAAATAACCAAACATAATAGAGTAATCCTACCACTTTGGAGAAGACGGGTTGACCCGCACTAGTTTCACTCATTGTTTTTCAACCGGGACCGACCCGGCGGGTCTACCCGAGACCCGGCCGACCTGGAGTCGGAGCCGGTCCGGGTAGGCTATTTAGACCGGGTAACAATGAACCCGGTAAAAATTCGGCCGGGTGAACCGGTCAAAACCCGGTCAAAATCCAACCCGGGCCATTGCCCGGCCGGGTGAACCGGGTCCTTATATATTTTTTATTTTTCTTAAATATTTTTTATATAAAAAATAGAAAACTATGTAAAATATATTGATATAGTAAATATTTATTGTAAGATATAATTCTTTTAACATTTTGATGTACAAATTCTATATGCAAAACATTTATTTTTGTTACTTTTATGTATATTTATATGTTAAAAATATTATATATATAATTTTAAAATTTTTAAAATTAATTATCCAGTTCAGTAATTGACCCGGTGGCCCGGTGGTTGAATTAGTGACGGTGACCTGCCCGGGTCGATTTCTGGCCGGGCTTAAAAACTATGGTTTCACTATTGGCCTGTTAAAAGTCCACGTAATATTACTGGGCATCGTCAACAAGTCCACAGCCCATTAGATATACGAATTTAGTTCATACCGCAGAATTCATTTC